TTTTTTTTTTTTTTTTTGTATTTTAGAGAAGGGTCTACAGGGGGTTCAGGGTCTCACTACTGAATTGAACTCGTAGAGATCTGCCTGTTTACAGTCACCCAAGAGCTGTGATTATAGGCATATATTTCCTTAAAAACAAATCGAAATATAGTTCCCACAAAAAACATTGCTAAAATTAAATTGATTTTAGCATTATGGTATGAGCAAACTTGGAGAGTGGATTCCTTAATTTTCATTCTCTCCAAGTTCAAAGAACTGAAAACCAGGATCTTCCTGAAGACACTCCCTCCTCTATTTTTCCTTCTACACAGTCCTGAAGGTGAAGATGTGATTTGCTTGCTCTTTGCTCTTTGAAACCCCCACGCCTCTGTCTTGTCTGGATGTAGTAAATTACAGCCTGGGGGCCAACTCTAGACTATACTCTGTTTTTGTACTCCAAGTAAATGATTGTTTATATACCATAGAGTTGTCAAAAAATGAAAGAGGTTATGGAAAAGGTCTTAGAAGAAGAGAATAAGAGGGAAGAGTTGACATATTTTATTATGGGGCATTTTCAAAACAGCTTGAAATTTCATATAACAACAAGATTATTAGAAAAAGAACACCCAATACTGGGAGTCCAAACTGGCAAATGTCTTGCTTAATACTGAGATTATTGATGTAATAGTGACATATTGATAGTAAGCATAATAAGACCTTTTGAACCCTTAAGGGAGTAATGAAAAACTTGGAGAAGTTTTTGAATAAAATGTTCTCATGGCCATGACCTATAATGTGCCATGACAAAAGACAGTTCCTTCTATATAAATTACAAACAATGAAACTCTTTCAAGATGGGTCTTCATTTCCAATAATAACTGAGATATTTGTAATTCATACAGTAAACTAATATTTGACTCTTACACACTGCTTTCATATAAGTTCTTCTATCCTCACTACAGTATGGTTCATGAATATAGAAATATAGATATGAGACAAAAGTCTAATGTCCCAAGGAAGAAAGGAGCAATACCCAGAAGAAAGCTGTTGTCTCACACTGTAAATCCCTGCAAGCTGGGATTCAAGTCTGCAGATAACATCTTCTCCTAAGGGAGAGGCTGCTTTAAACTTAAAAGTTTGGAAACAAGTTAAGAGAACTCTGAGTGGTGCTCACCAAAATGGGTAGCCAATTGCTCTTCATGAATGGGCTCTTTCTAGTTTAATTTCCTTAACATGGAAACTTTGCAATCAAACTCAAAAGAGTCTAAGAAATATTTGAAAAGGACAGCTTGAGATCCTAATACTGCTAAACCTCGAGAGCAGCTTCTGCATAAATATGAATCTGCACATGAGACCTTTTTAAGACCTTTGCTTCCTCTCTCTCAAATGTGGATGCTAACATAGAAAAAAGGAAAAAACAGAGCAGGGGTACACTGTGGTGCATAATATGATGAGGTTGCACATCCTCAAGTCCCCCTACAAGAAGGTGCTCCCTGGCATACCAAGAGTGTCGGTTCTTTAAATTTCTTGATGCTCATAGCAGGGATGACTCTGACAAACTGGGTTCTAAAAGGACATTTATGGCATTGCAAATGATCTCTCAGAATCTGAGGATTCGAAGGATATAGAACAGAAGGAAATTAAGAATGAGGACATGAGCCGAGGTAAGGCAATTATCATAATTGCTTTCTACAGGGATTGAAAAAAAAATGAAGGTCTCAACCTCTGTAGCTCTTCTGTCTCAGTTCACAAAAATTCAGCCCCTACTGCCATCTTTTAATCCCTCTGCTCCTCCATATGAAAAAAAGGAAGGCCCCATAGCAATTTATGAAGGTGTGATATCTGAGGCTCTTATGCAAAAGAGACAACAGGGAGATCCTGAAGCTTATTCTACCCCTTTGGGTATTTTTCCTGTGATGGTTCAACAACACCCACCAAATGCTCAATTTCTCCAGGCATATGTACAATGGGAACACCAACCTCTGACATTCAAGTTTATTAAAGATTTAAAGCAGTCTGGTATGCAATCAACCTATGTGATTAGATTAATGCAAAGATTAGCAAATGAACATAGATTAATTCCTCATGATTGGGAAGATTTTTGCTGTACAATTTTAGAGCCAAGGCAATATTTGCAGTTTAGAACCTGGTGGAAAGATCAAGCAGGTATTCAAGAAGGAGTTATCGGAGGACAATATATCCCAGTTAATGTTTCATTAGATGAACTCATTGGGCCAGGGGCGTGGCTTTGTATCCAAACTCAAATGCTATATGATGATGTGGTTATAGTGCAAATTCGCATTTGCTCCTTGAGGGTGTGGAAAAAGGTGAAAAGGCCAAGGGATGCTCAAACATCCTTTGCTGAAGTTCTCCAGTCTAATAGGGAGCTGTATGTAGATTTTGTCTTCTGATTAAGGGAGGCTATACACAAAACAGTGAAAGCACCAGATTTGAGGGATTTATTATTACAAATTTTGTCTTTTGAGAACATTAATACCAAATGTCAAAAGGCTCTGTGTCCCTTCAAGGCACAGGGTGCATCATTGGAAGAATATATTAAGGCCTGCACTGATATTGACTCAGAGCCTTACAAAGCTAATTTAGTGGCAGTTGCCTTACAGACTTTTTTTTTAAAACAAAATCATACCAAGTGTTTTCAGTGTGGAAAATGGGTCATAGGAGAAAAGATTGCAGAAAAGGACAAGATGAAAAGAAAAAGGAGATAAGAATAGCAAGACTGCTCCAGGACTTTGTCTGAGATGTGGAAAAGGTAAACATTGGACTAATGAATGCCGCTCCAAACGTGATGAGCATGGCCAACCCTTACAATCTCGGGGAATCTGGAGAATGGGTCCATCATCCAGGGGCTCAGAGAAAAACAATACAAGATACCTGCAGTTTCCATTGGCCAGGCCGAATTTGAATCGAACACAGGATCACAGGTCTTTCCCTGCAACCCCCAGAAGCAGAAGCACAGCTTTAGATCTGATACTTGCAGAAAATCAGCTTTTGATCCAAGCCTGGAAAGTTTACAAAATTAAAACTGAAGTTTTCAGCCCTATTCCGAAAGATACTGTAGTCTGATTGTGGAAAGTGTTACTACCCAAGATGCATTTCTACATTTCATAATTATTGATAGTGATTATGAAGGAGAAATAATATTTATGTTGTCTACTACTTAACCTTTTCAAATTAAAACTTAACTGCTTATTAATATAGTCTGGAGGTTTTGTTTGGTGTAATCAATTCTTTTTATACAGAAAATTAAAGTAATAATTCTCTCCATCCAAACCATTGTTTGAACCACACCAGATTCTTATATTGCTCAACTGGTCTTTTCTTGATAAAAATTTTATAATTATTAAAAAGAAATATTGGGTTAGAAAATAAAAATTAAAGGAAAAACATTTAGAA